ATCATTCTCTGTCAGTGCACTCAAGGCACCAAATTAATCACTTAATAGTGGGTAAAGTCACACTGCCAGGCTCCACGCCAAGAGATAGTTATGTAAGCAGAATTAGATGGGCTTTGAGTAATCACCTCTCATTTTCCAAACTCTCCACTGTCGTTCCTTGTCAGGGGCACTTAGGGTCCTACTAAGCACTTCTAAAGACGCTCATTTGGGCCCAAAAAGTGCCTTTGGTGAGAAGCGAACAGCTAATCCCTTCCAAATCCACTGTGCTTCCTGACATCTTCAAAGGCCCAGGGTCAACACAACACTGGAAAGGACAGGGTCGGTTTTTAGGACAAAAATGCAGTCAGGAACCACTAATGGAGCCGGAGCCAAAAACATTCTTTGTTTGAACAGTCATGTAAAAGTCATGGTTTTTAGGTGTTGTGTGCTCTAGACCCACCACGGACAGCAGCTCTGTTCTTAAACCTAGTGCGCTGTCTACCAAGACAACATTTTTAAACATGTTCTTAAAGTTAGGTGGGAACATTATGCTGCGATACAGGATACTTTGTTTTTGCCAAATCCTAGGCAGCAATCCCAGAATGCTTTGCAACACGCTCAGTGAAAAATACATCCACGTTGTTGACAGAAACATTGACTATTAATCATGGTTGTGCACCATTTAGAATGGAATTGAATTGCAATTCAAATTTGACTGCAAGGAAGCAGAATTTAAAGTAAATTGATATTCAAAGAAATTCAAATCATTGAAATTTAAAGATTATCAAGAAAAACTTTGAATTTTGGCATGACAAAGCTTTATTTGAAAGTTACAATAGTACAGTAAAACAGTAATATTGTGAAATGTTATTACAATTTAATATATTGTTATTTAATGTAATATATAGATACTTTTATATTATTATATATTGGTATTTAATATATTACATATAATATTAATATGATTAATGACATAATTATTTAACAAAATTATTATTTTCAGGATTCTTTGATGAACAAAAAGCTCAAAATAATTTATTTGAAGTAGAAATCTTTGTAACATTATAATCCTAAATGTCTTCTTTGCTATCACTTATGATTAATTTAATCACACTGACGGCAAACGTTTGAATGGTAGTGTAGACAAGTTTGAATATATTTCATCAAATATATAATAAATTAACTTTTGTGGACTTTGGGAAAATCATTTTTATTTTCCAGTATTTATCACCTGTTTTGAATTTCTTTAAATTGCATTTTAGTGAACTCCTCAGCTTCCTGTGGTGTGAAGCCAATTCAATTTCACACTCATGAACTGAAAGGGAGCCAGTTCTTAGCAACTCGGCTTAGCAACACGCTGACATTAGAATCCATTGTGAGGTGCTGCTTACAGTATGTAGAGAGTTCCAGATCAGTCACTTATGAGGTTCTGTATCAGCTGGCACAGGCTGCTTGTGTATAGGCAGGAGACAAGCAAGGCCGCTCACAAGAGCTTTTGTATCCATCAGCAAGTACTGACCTGCTTTTCTATGGTGTCAGAGCTGGAAAAGCCTTCCTATTCCATTTGCCTGATTTAATAAGCTTTCATGTGAGAGTGAGCCATGCCAAGTCACTGGATATCTAAGAGTGGGGCTGCTTTCTACTGCAGGTCACCTTGTACTTTTGGAGTCAAGCCTCTTAGAAAAAAGAAGGTGGCAGCCTATGAAATGGCAGAGAAAATCAGTGGTCATATAGACCACTTTTAGGGTCCTGTTTGAAAGTCTTACAGGACTTGAGGGTGAGTAAATAATAGGGCCTTTCGCACCGGGGGAACCTTTTCATAGTACCAGAACTAATTGTGGAACTACCCACTTTTTGGCGTTTTCGCACCGCCGGAACTGGGTGCGATTTTAGTACCGGACTGCCTTTTTCGAGAACCAAATTAGCTCCTACTCCGGAGCAGGGTCTAACCAGCACAACTGGTACTAATCGTGACGTAAGTAGACATTGATTGGCCAAACACATATGAAAAC